CGTAAGATAATAAAGACATAAAATTAAATATTAATTATTAAGAAACTGAATAATAAATTGATGGTAATAAAATATGAAAAATTGGATCAGCAAGCTAGTTTTCCATTTGTTCAATTTTCATGAACAGTATTTTTTATTTTGTTTTTTCTGAGATGAGAATGAAAATTGGAGGTTCATTAAGTAGTGTTTTATGCGTAAGGGCTGAAAAAATCATACTTGTAAGAAAAGCTTCTTTTGTTGGAAGAAGATAAAGATTGAAAGACCTAATAGTATGTGAGGAAACCTAACTACTTAACTTTTTCTAAATCAATATATTATTTCCAATTATTCAATAGACAAAGTTCCAATAATTAGTATTTACTTTAATAAAATTAAAAGAATTCTACAAATTTGTTTGCTATAAAAGAAATTTAAAAACGAAAAAGTGTAGGATAAAATATTAAAGAGAAACAAGTATAACATATTATTCCACCACCGTATATTATACGTAGACATCTTATCTCCATTGTACAAAATAGTATTATTGGAAGCTAAGATTTTTTTTGTATATATTTGGCCAACATGTTTTTTCTTTTTTTCTAAAATAATTTTTTATCAAAGTAAGTAGTTTCTTTTGTTTATTTTTTTCCTAATTTTATTATTTTTTTAAAAAAATCCTATGGTTCTTAAATATATACTTTGTTAAAAAAATATTAGTGGAAGTGACTAAAACTAATCATTATCCACACACAATAAAAATTAACTAATTAATATTATTTAAATTTTCGAATCACGTAATCTTTTTCTTGAAATGTTTTTATTTGAAACTTGGTATCAAAATAAAGAGTCGTTGAACATATAACCTCAATTAGTTAAAGAATATAAAAAGATGAAAACAATTCAAAACTTTATAATTGAATTTACGAATTTTATATTAATTAACATTATTTTTAATTGAGTCTCAAAAAGGTATATTTTTGGCTTTTTATTATTTGATCATATTCTTTTGATTGGATAACCTAAGTGTTAGGTGAAGCATGTATTTAATTGTACAAAGTGGAAGAAGCTTTTTTCGTTTTTATATATCCATTTTAGTTTTGGATAGAAATAAATATATATGTCTTATTCTTTTCCATCAAAATCAGAGAAAAAGGTAATTAGGAGAGAGAAAATGTAAACAAAAATAAAGTATGATTTAAACATGATGAAATACCTTGTACCAAACTTACTTGAATTGAATTAGTTGACCTAAGGCTGCTAGCTACACCACGAAAGGGAAATGAATATCAACAATTTTAGTATTATTTTTGGATTGGAAAAAAGAACCTTAAAAACATTGAAACATTAATGTACATATCACAACTTTGCTTTTTCATTTGATTTCAAAGCATGAGACCATAAATTAATGCCTATGAAAAACTTCTAGATAGTAACTTTTCTAACTAAGTAAAATTGAGGAAAATAAATAATTTTAGATTTTAAAGAAATAAAAATGAGAAAGATCAAAATTTTCTGGTGGATCATGTTTTTTTAGTCGTCATACGAGAATTAAACATTTGGAGAGAGTAAAATTATAATAGAGATATTAGTCTTTAGTTAGAAGAGAGATGATAAAAATATTGGTATTTATATGTATTTGCGATTAAAACCAACGATAAGATATTATAATATTTATTATCTTTCGGTAGTGGATAATAAACCGGTTGAATGTGAGTATTATATTATAACTTCACATATTTGTTACTTACAAAAAATAAAAAAAAATTTAATTTATAGTTAATTTAATTTATAATAGTGTTTGATATGGTATCTTTTGTACAATTTGACATAGTATTTAGTGTCACGTCTGACATCAGATTTAGATAAGTATTAAATAACCCATGATATAAGTAAATATTGAGAATTTTTAGCATGAGAAGGGTTGGATTGAGTATTAATCAAATAATTCAAGTGAATTTGAATTTGGATAACATTTAAAATTATCTATTTAATGTGAATTATATGAAATGTAATCTTTAATCAGTTATTGGTTACCAATTAAAAAATGTAATAACTATTTTTGACAATATCAAAATTCAAATTTTATAATCATGACTAAAGTGATATTTCACGTCACTTTTAATATTAGGTTCAGATAAACTTATAAATGTGAAACATAATTATTTAATCATGATACAAGTTAAGATTTTACATGAATGAGATTTAATGAAGTCTTAACCAAATAATCTATAAAATTATCTATTTAGTGTAAATTATGAAAAATCATGATCATTTATTAGTCATTACTTACTAATTAAGTCATAATTTTTATTTTGATCACAAAGACGCTATAAAAGTATAAATTTTATAGCAGTTTCCGACATGATATCTGACGTCACGTCTGATCCAGCATCTGACGTCGACAAATATAAAATAATCTAAACTTTTAATCTGATATAAATAAAGATTGAGAACTTTTAAGATGAGTCGGGTCGAATTGAATGTTAATCGGATAATCCGTAAAATTATCTATTTATTTAATTTTGTGTAAAAAATTGAAAATTACATATTTCTCTCTTATCTTTCTTTTTGTGAAACTTTAAGAGAGAGAATACAAAGAAATACAAAAGAAGATGGTGGGATAGGCTAAAAAGGAAAAACATTTGGTATGGTATCTAAATTTTATAGTAGATATATATTTAAAACCAAAAACAGATAGTTGATATTCATATATTTATTATCTGAATAATAAACATGTTGAGTGTGAGTATTATACTATCTGTAACTCCACAAATTTGTTATTTACAAAAAATAAAAATAAAAATTTAATTTATATTTTATTAAATTAAATTTAGTTAAAATTAAAATTAATTTATGTTTTATCATATGTTAAATTTAATTAAATTTATATTTTAATTTAATTTATATTATAGTTTATGTATTTTTTAATTTCATTTATAAATTTATAACATATATATTTAAATATTTTTGGATATTCACGAGTATACGTGAGTTTTAAATATTCGTGAATATCTATGAATATTTAAAACATATATACAGATATCCACATAAATAGTAGGTGATTTTTTTTCGGCTTAGATAAAAGGTAAGCATTATCTGTATAAGCTCGACCCGTTATTATTCCTTATCATAAGTCCATTTATATAATCTTAATACTATTTCTAATTCAAAATTTTAATGAATTTTTTCTTATATTGTTAAATTTGCTGAAATTCTAGTGTTCTATCCATGAATCCTTTATTTATATAATATTTCTTAAGAACATCACCAAGTATTGGATTTTTCAAATAAACATACGGAAAAGAGTGGATATGTAATCAAAGAGATCAAATACAATTATAAACATTAAGATGATGAATTTATACATTTTCCCCCCCTTATATAAGTAGCAACATTTTCTGTTTCTTAACCAATTTATTTAAAAGATTATTTTCGAAACCATGTTGAGAGGATATTAATCATCTTGTTTAGATTTAAAATATAAAAAATATTATTTATATTTTCCAATAATATTTATTCTGTATCAATATCAGTCTAAGAAAAAAAAATTATAAAACGTTTATGAGGATTAAAAAAATGGTTTTTAGTCTATTATTTATTGAAAGCAATTTTTTATGTAAATATTATTATTTTAATTGTTATAAATACATTATTAATTCTTCGAAACAATAGTATTTATTAGAAGAGAATTAAAATTAATTTTTTAATATTCAATGAAAATTAAAAAAAAATCAATGAAATTACTATAGTAGGCCTTTAAAACATCAATCATCACAATTTGGAAAATTCGCAAAAGTGAAGGTTGTTAAAAGGATTATTTATCCTTATCGTTTCTCTGATTAAAGGAAGAAAGAATGACTATGCTCGATTTTTTTTATGTCAAACCTTTGTTGCTCAATACCTAATAAAAAACGAAGTTATAGGATAATAATACTAAACATCTTCACCAAAAATGCAAATTATTTAAATAAATTTCTCAATATAGAAATTGATACGTAAATTAAATCAGTTTGAAATTGTAATTTAATTAGATCCAATGAAAACCAAATTATTTAATTTTGTTCATTTAGTTAATTAATTATTTTACATAGCATTTGATGATATAGTTACATAACTTTATAAAACAATTGTGACTATTATTTATTTTATGCAAGTGAATTATAATAAAAATGTTTTTCATTTCGTTTAGTGAAAGAATTATGTATGAATTTTTGGATAATGATATTTTTTTCTATATATATGTTTGTATATTTACATATAGTCAGATTCAATTGGTCTAAATTAATCTATTTTTTTATTAGATTAGTCTAGTTTGAATTATTTTTTCTTGAATCCAAACTAATCCAACCAATAAAATTTTAAGAATATATCTATCCAAACTAATTCAAATCTGATCCAGATCAATCAAATCATCTACTTTAACATAGCTCATTAAAATGTTAAGTTTTTCTCCTGCTTTGAATGAATGTAGAACAATATCTATAAACAGTGGTGACTGCTTCAATGAAATTTCATTTCAATTTCCTTTTTGTCTTCTTAACACAATTTTATTCAATACTTCACTGCTTGTTCATTAAATTATTATAAAGTCAGATTTTCTCCATACATTTTCATTGTTAAAACAATTTATTCTAGTCAATGTAATAGTAGGAACTACACAACATTGTAACCCTTCTGAGAAATGAAACCCCTTTTTCTTTTTTTATTAGGATTTAAGTTAAAAATTGCTAATTTGAAAGAAACTACAATAATTTTCAAACCACTTTGTGCTGCCAAAATAAAAAAAAATAAAGTAAATTCTTCCAAAGACACCCTTTGAATTTCCCTTCTTCCTAGAATATGAGAACCATGCTTGTCACATTCAAATGCACCCCAGAAACCCATCATCAAGGTGACAAGATAATAAATTTGAAGCATGTAAGCTCAACTCAGTCACCACCTAACACACACAGATTGTCCCTTTAAATACCATATTATATATTTTGATGAATGGGGTGCTGCAAGTCCATGATTGTGTTACATGATGCAATGTCCTTCCATTTGACATCACATGTGGCACACTACAGAGCATTGTCGTGGTCAAAGCTTACACATAAATATCATGCAATTTCATAACCCTTCAAGAGCCAAAATCATATGAATCGGTTAGCACTTCAATTCTGTCCAAGATATGATGCCATTGCACCAGACAGCATATTGCAGGATCCAGGAACAGAAACTGTGTCAGCTGACCATAACTCTTTCCTGTTTCACATATCCTTGTCAATGATGTCCCTCATCATCTGTATTGGTATAAGTCCCTCAGTTCGTATAGCATCTTTGTTTGGATCAGGACTGATAAAGAACACAGTTGGCAACCCACGTACCTAAAATACAGGTAGAATAATTCAAATGTGAGTCTAAATCCCATGTTAAGTACAAAATAACATAAGTCATTATATAAGAAAAATGACTGAAATCTAATGTGTTACGGTTTTGGATTAAAAGGGACTGTCAGGATTGGACTAATGTCATCACATGAGGCATCACATTTAAGTGTGTTCTTTAGTCACTGTCACAATCCAAATTTCAACTGAAGGGCAAATCAATTATCAGGGTCTAGATCTGTTTGCTAATAGTCCCCTTTGAGTGTCTTGTCTAGTCTAGGCTTGAAGGTTGAAACACCAACCATTAAAATAGTGTTCTTGTCAGCCATAATACAAAGAAAATACATATACAAGATCTAGATATTTAAGATTATTATTATCTTTAAACAAACAAACAGGATTAGCATGTGTTGGTTTATGAGGAAACTGCTTACACCCCATGATGCAATGCATGTTTATTTTTGTCCCCACATTTTTAGGGTACCCTACTACAAGTTCACGTGCCATTTTGTAGAGTAGAAAAAGTGGAAAATTATGAAGAGGTAATAGTACATAGACCCTAGTACTTGTAATACTAGGTTATGAACATAAAAGCATGAGGGATTAACCCATTTACTCTTTATTATAATAACTCTTTGACAACTTTAATAAAAATAAATAAGGTTTTTTAATGGATCTCTAATGAGTATTTGTACGTGAACACGTTGTAAACAAAATTGAGGGTGTATTACCTGCATGTCGCGTGAAAATTCATACTCGTCATCAGTATCAACCTTAACAAAGACTGCCTTGTTTTCGTACTCAACTGCAAGCTGAAAAAAATTTAAATATGAATGGTTATTTCTGTGCTTTCAAATCAACTACTCAACAAGACAAGTAACCACCCTATTGTGAGATTAAGAACCACCCTATTGATTAAAACATGACATACTTATAGAATTAAGGAAATAAGACAAAGTATGCAAAGATTGTTCAAGTATTAAGTAAAAAGTCAGTGCTAAGGGAAAAAAAGCAACCACTTGGAGAAGAACAAATTCTAGATCCCCATATGCTTAAATTGGTTCTACCAGTCAGAAGATATGTGTATTTCAATGGAAGATGAACTATTGCAGCGAACTTCATTGTCAGAATGCAACGTGACCCTTAGTGAAGTAAAACAAAATATTAAATATCATAAAATTAGAGCTAACATTCGTTTGCAATTTCAATAGAACTTTAGGATAAGTGTTTTGCTTGTAAACTAGTTGCAAAGTTGCAGCCAATGCTATGAACTTGATTAATAATATATGGATAACCGTTTTCAAAATCACACCGTCTCTTAACTAAGGATGCATTTGAAAAAGAGTGTTTAAGCTGATCTGGCGGAAGCTTTTGGGATCGCTTATAAGCTATTTTCAACTTATTTATATAAACTCATGAGAATAAATTACAAAAATAGTTTGACCTTGTTTCCTCTTCAATTATAGAAACAATTTACACGTAAGTACTTAAATTATAAGCACTAATTTATTATGTGCTTAATAAGGTATTTATAACCAAACACAATGATAAATGACTAAAGCCTCTTCCTGATGAACTAAAACTCATGAATAGAACAAGAGTAATGCAACTTAATTCAGACACGTTAGAGACTAATTTCCATTTATAAGCATAGAGGCCCAGTCTCCTTAAATAGCATTCAATTGACCCGAATCTATCAAGTTATTTTTGAGATCAATCTCAAGATCTATAAATTCAAATATGGCACAAGCTCCAGATCTAAGCAAGTTTAGCAAGCAACCAATACTCTCGTATCTACCATTAATTCAGTCATGTACAACAAAATAATGTTAATGAACATGTTTAGAAGTCATGAAAATGTTGTATATAGCCGGTCACATGGAATAACACCGAAAGGAGGGCAAGGATTGTTTATTAAATTATCAATTACTAGCAGCAGTGTCAATAGTGCACTATAGCAACATGGCGGAGTGCAGTGGAGCCTGGCCTCTGTGCACTGCCCTGTGTACTGTAGGGTCTGAAGTTGTCACCATAGAAACTTTTTGCATCACTATAGCATCACTATGTTGACGGTGTACAAAGTCCCCAGAACAACCTCAATGAATTTGATACACATTACGAGTACTGAACATCCCTGTGCTACCCTCTGCCAACCAGTGTGTGTGGTGACTCATTCTCTGGCCTCTCATTCTCATTCTCTGTTTTTTTACAGTCGCCTCTTATAATCTCATGTTTTTGCAGTTATTTTATCATCACAAATCTCTGTTTCTTTTAATCTCTTTCCTGTGTTTTTGCCTCTAATTTGAGTTCTTTTTAAGTTTTCTCTGTTTCAGTATTGTATCCGGAGTCTAAGTGTCTGAGGTCTGTTTTGCAACTATCTACCAGTGAAAGACTCAAAAACCCATTCGTTCCTCTTTTTATGTGTCTATTTGGTTAGTCATGGCCATCCTTTGCTACTATCTCTTTGCAATTTTTCCATTAAAACAATTTTGTACATAAGTTTCAACCGTACATGCTACTGGACTAATGATGATGGAATGAAATATGATAGCAGATTAGCAACCTAAAAAATAGAGAAGTCACAAGCTTCAGCTTATCCTGGACATTTTTTCCACTCCATGTTGGAATAAGATCAGATATGATACAATATGAAAAATAAAGAGTTTTAGCAAACAGTTTTTATGTGAAATTAAAAAATATTTTGCCTTTCTGTTTTCAACCACCGGCACTAGCAATAACTGACATAATATTGAGTGCAAGAACCAGCTAACTATGGCCTCATTCACACATAAAACTGATAAACATCGTGACACGGTTAGGATGTAAGGAGTAGCAGGAGTTAGTTGAGATAGTTAGATTATTAATGTGTTAGTTAGAGGGATTAGTTAGCCATTAATAGAACAATAAGGATAGGAGAGATTTAAACGTGTTATCATTGCATATTGAGAATTGATTCTTTGAGAAGGAGAAACCTTGGAAGAGTTTTCTTCATTGTACTTTTCATTCTATTCAATAAAAACCTTTCTTTTCTCTCATTTCAATTCTTGGACCTAACACACTCAGTGAATATGAATAATAGAAAACTCTCAAATGATAACAATGCTATTGGAATATATAAAACCATAATCTGTTATGATCAAACCAGATAGGCTGTCCAACAGATTGGAAACCCTTAATTTTGGGGGCAAGGAAAATGAATAACATGCCAAATTCATTGTCATACTGGACAATTAACGATGAAATGAATCATTGTATAGAATCAAGGTTTTAAAATTGAAGTTGTGGTAGTAGTTGCAGTTTTGTTGCAATCCTTGACAATGCGGAGCAATGTGGCAAAAACTGCAGCAGTGTTGTGCCCAAAAACTTTGATGTTGCACCAAATATGACAGTTGCAGACTGTTTTCCAAATGCGTGTCAAATATAAAAGTAGAACAGAAAAAAGAACCAATAAGACAAGCCATTGCACGTCCAACCAGCCCCCAATAACTACAATAACTATTTTTTTATGCAAATAATTGAGGCAAACTTTATTAACCGTTGAATTTCCAAGTTTGGCATCTGTCCGTTTCCTTGTAGGAAAATCTTTGTCAAATATTTAATGAATTTAATCCATATTTTTGGTGAATGGTATTCAATCTATCCAATAGCACAATCTGAAAGATAATTAAAGACTAGCAAAGGAGGCTGATACAAGTAAAGGCTGAATTAAAACATCAAAAATACTTTATGGCATTGTGCTAGCCTGAAAGTTGAAACAAACATCAGATGGCAACAACAACACATCCTCGTAGTCAAATCAGAGCAGAGGTTAAGAATTTTACAGATCATGTAAACCACGTACCATTTCAAGTTCTTGAGCCATTAAGATGCAAGGTCCACACCAAGTTGCATAGAAATCTATAATAAGAGGAACTTTTCTTTCTCCCTTCACCAGCTCCTGGATTTCCTCAGCTGACAATTTTTTCTACAAATCGAAAATAACAAACAATGGGATCACTGCAGTATCAGATAACATTTAGTTTACGAATAATAAACACAAAAAAGTAAATAGTCTATGTTTGGACAGCGTTATTTTTTTACATTTCTATTCACTCGCAAACTGCTTATCTTAAAATTTATTGATTTATCCGTTAATTGCCTTCAAAGTCCTGCCAAAGATTACTTTTTTATTGATGTGAGTAAAGCATTAAAAAATTTAAACCCTTCTGTGTTCTTTCTTCTTTTCAAGAATTCCTACATTTACACAGTAAGAAGTCATAAGGAAACAAATAAAAAAAAAAAAATTTAAGTTCTTACTCATAAGGGGTAAAAAGTAGAGAATTTTATCAGAAGAAAAAACAAAGTATTACCTCCGAAACACAAAACCATTCATTACACTAAAAACAAGAACCATTTTTGCGACTTGAACGGATGTACAAAGGAATAAAAAGAAAAAAATTCACAACAAAAAGTCATTTTGTTGAAACCTAGATAAAACTGGTATGAAAAACGAAAATTCAGAAAGAATGACATAAGACCCATAAGAGGAAAAAACAAGATAGACCCAGAAACGATATGGTAGAAAGTGAAGTGTTTGAAGTGGCATACCACAAGATAGTCATCCCTGATATATTTTCCTTGGGGTGGCTTGCAGAGCAACTTTCTGGGTACTGTGGAGAGTGAAAGAGGCTTATTGTTGTTTAGGTGAGTGGTTGTGGTGAGAGGATAAGGGTGGTGGTGAGCTGTGAAAGAAGGGTTTGGTAGAGAAGCACAAAGGGGTTTGGAATTGAAGGGTGAGAGAATGGCCATGCTGTGGTGAGGGGCATGGCATTGGAAGAGAACCATTCTTGTTGGTTTGGAATTTGCAGAGTGCTTCAATGAAAAGAGGGTTTTTGAGTACAGGGGTTTACCATATCTACTTATTCTTTCATGAATAGATAGATAGACAAAATTTCTCTTTAACCTAGGTTCTTTTCTGTCACTAAATAGTGATAATAATTTAGACAGATTATGTTTGGATTTTAAAAACAAAAGTTAAGGAAATGAATGAATATTTTTTTTTATTTTTTTTTTCTGAAAAGTATATTAAGTGTATTGTTTTTTATTTTCAATTTTCAGAAAGACAGAGTTAATGGTTTAAGAATTTTAACATGTCTTTTGTCGTATAATGGTTTCTTCTTCGAAAGATAATCTTCTATGTACATTTTTTGAGTTTAGATATGTTTTTAATTATTTTAATTTCTCTTCTCGGATTTAAAGTTTATCTTTATAATTTTAAAGTGTTTGCTTCATTTTTTTCAGATTTGAAATATAATTAAGGATTTCATTTATTAACTACAAATTATTTACATGATATTTTATTTTAACTTCACATTTGTATCATTAAATATCTAATTATTTTTATGTTATTTTTTAAAGTATTAATTTTAACTTTTGGACGAATAAACTAAACCAATTTCTTTTAAATTACATGAACTAAAAAAGTTAATTCTAAATTTAAAGAATGAAGAAAAAATACTTAAATTTTAAGGATTAAATCATTTTTTATTTTATTTTCATATCTATGCAACTGGTGCAGACCATACCCCAACATTTTTGTCAATGTAATCAGTCTTAGATGGAGTTCCTGTTGAAAATATTTGCGTCATAACTTGAATGACTTCATCTTGTAAGCGAACAAGACGGATTGCATCATGAAGCGTTGTAGGACTATGTGTCAAATCTTTCAAGATAATCCAACAAAGTTCCTTCTTTCTTTAATCTTGCCAAATATGCAACAAGATCATCAATAGCACCGGAATAAAATGTGTTTATATATTTCCTATTTTTTTTTTCTTTGTTCGAAGTTTTACGTTGAAACCAAATTATAGTATATAAGTACACTATACATCTTATTTTACAAATCAATTTTATGAAATTAAGTTAGACTTAAAATCATTTTCTAATATTCTTAATATTCTACATGGAAAGCAATAGCAGACAACTTCGTTTTGATTTTCAAGGGTTCTCTCTAACTCAGAATATATTGCATAATTATTTTAAAAAATAAAGAGACAAATTTGTTTACTGAGAATATAGCTTAAAGTTGATCAAGACGTGTGATTTGTGTTATAAACATTTTATACTTTTCAATTTTGCTGATAAAATAAAGAGATGAGTTAGACGTTTTATACATATACATATTTGTATGATTGTGTGTTTATATATAAACCAACAACCCAAAAATTTACCAAGCTACCATTTTTATCTAACTAGAATAATGAGTATATAACCTTAAACGCAAAAATAGTTCGTATATTGTAAGATTTAGTGTATTATGCTAAGAAGAAGGACTTAAATTAAACGAAAAGTATAAATATCCTTTTAAAGGATATTATAAATATTTGTAAAATAAATCAATTATAAATATTTAAAACGATTTTAAGTAAAATTATGACATGCACAAAAAAGTGTTTTAGTGTTCACTAGTGCAAAAATAGTCTTTAACGTCACCCTTTAGACGTCGGATCCCACAATACCCAACGTAAAAAATTGACCGGTGGTATTTTGGTAAATAAGTTGGCCTTGGCGACGTCGATTCATGGGACGCCCGACGTCTATACTTTAAACCAGGTCAATTTGTACAATTAGACGCCAAAAAGGGAACGTCAGAATATGAAAAGTCATTTTTTTCGCCATTTAGACGTCAGATCCCACCACACCAACGTCTAGATAGTCATTGAGAATTCGGTCCCCCTTACATCTGACGCCTAAATGGCTTGACAGGGTAGGTGAAAAGTTGTTTTGGACGTTGGTTCCCCTTGCATCTGACGTCTATATACACCGTGAATCTTAATTTTTAAATCGAATGGACGTTATATTATTGAGGTCACCGACGTCTAGTCGAGAATAGACGTCGGGCACTGGGGGCATCGACGTTTTGGTTCCTGTTACATCAGAAATCGCAAACCCACGGTTACGCGCACTTCATCCTCTTCCTCCTCGTCTTTTCTCTCCGCGTCATTGCATTTCCAGGTGCGTTTTTATCTCTTTTTAACCGTTTAAACTTACTTTTACTCCAATTAAATTAGTCTTTGATGAATTATCTTCCATTTGAACCGATTAAAATGAGTTTTTGTTGTGTTTTTGTGCAGTTTTTCTCGTGTCTTTGGGTAGCGTAGTAGCACCTTCTCCCTTTGTTAGTTTTCTCGTAAGAAAAACTTGCGTCTTTTGGATCTCTTATAGCATTTCAACCCAAAACCGAACCTGGGTCCTTGCCTAGTTCTCATGTCACCGTATTCTTTTTCATTGGCGGTTGAAATGGAACAAGGCAAGGACCTAGATTGGGTTTTCGGTTGAAATGCCATAAGAGGTCCAAAAGACGCAAGCTTTTCTTATGAGAAAACAAGGAAGAAGGTGCTACTACGCTACCCAAAGACACGAGTTGCAGTAGACGTCGGTTAATGCCATTTCCGACGTCTATAGTGCTCTTAGACGTTGGACTCTAACATCACCCATAAAGACGTCACATATGGATCTGACGTTAAAAACCCAAAATAACAGACGTCTAAAGCCCTTTCTGCACTAGTGGCTGTCTAGTGTTTAAAATCTCCCCTTCACGTTATGCACACTCCATTCATAAGAAATTCCACATTAGTATTAGATTATGAACAATAAAAATTTCACCTGAAGAACAAGATAACTACCTATACTATCAGCTTCACTTTCCCCCTTCAGCTGCTCCAACTGAAAAGAATGTATCCCTAAGCTCACACCATTTAGGTGATCATCGCAAAAGAGAAACAGACACACAAAGACATGCCAAAGAAAAGCAAGGGTAAGCTAGAGTAATTTAATTGATTACACCAATCATGCAAATTAAACAAATACATAAGCATGTGTCAACCAATCATTTCAATCATACAATAACCGACCATACATTACAGGCAAGGACCGAACATAACATACATGTAATGACCGACCACTTGACATGACTATCCGGATTGTATGAATATGTAGCTTGTGGTTGTTCTTGCACTCGGGTGGTGTAGTAATTGGAAACCCCTCAGCTGCCACCCAAGGTTAGTCCGTCATACCTCACCCAGATCCCCTTTGGACTAGGACCTCCTGCTATTCTCACCACATGACTTACCCATCTCTACTTGAGACTTGGTAATCATGAGAATGTCAGGATGAACACCGTGGATTTCGCTGTCCATATTCATACTTTACCACCACCTTGATAACCAATCACTGAGACATTCCTCCTTGGAATTCTCTTTCACATTCATATTACAATTATCATACCATACTTTCATTTTTACACCATTATGATAATGCATACATAAACCATCAAAACCATTGGAACAATTAATTAAAATAACACATTGGAATAAATATAAATATAGGCTGAATAGAAAACATCAACATATATGAACAAGACCAAACACCTTGTGAATAGTGGAGACCGAACGGTTTCTCACTACCCCAGTACAGAACCGAACGGTAACGACAACCACCCATAATATGACCGAACGGTCAATTTAAAGAGTAAGGCTCAAACATGAGCCAAATAAAATTTGAGGGTCAAACACTTTAACAACTGAATACTTAGAGCTTGGACCGAATATTAAGAACTTAGACCGAACACTTAGTGTAAGACCGATCGGTCTTTCACTATCCACTGAACAAGACCAAATGGTCCATACTAGGTAAGGCTAAGGAAATGGCCGAACACTATTAATGACCAATCATTAGGGAAAAACCTAACACTAATACAAGTCCGAACACTACCAAGACAAAGTACCCACCTAAAGCCGAACACTCTGGACTTAGACAGAATACTCTCTTAGGATCGAACACTAAAGCATGACCGAACAGTCATTAACAGGTAAGGCCCATCAAATGCCGAACACGGTTAAGACCGAACATCAATACCAGATTGTGTACTAGTGCAAGACCGCCCGGTCATTAACTGAAAACTCCACAGAAGCAGAACTCAGTTAAGACCAAACACAAAAGGAAGACCACCCACACCTAATACCGAATGGTCATGAATTGGTAAGACTCTAAAGAAACTGAACCCAATTAATGACCAAGCACCTGAATATGGCCGAACGGGCAATCAACGCATGACCGAGCGGTCAACAACGCATGTTCCACATTCTGCATAATTCTATAGAAATATCTGCAGAATTATGAAAAACTCCTAACTTTACCAAAACTGAATATTTTTCCCAACTTCTAATTCCCCATTGCTTGAATCATATACCAATTTACATTATTCCAAGGATGTTTAAACCTTTATAAACACTTTCTAAAGAGTTTGATACCAAATTCATGATCCAAAACTGCATAATCATCAACCTAAGGACTCAAATTCAATTCTACTGGGTTTTTTTTTGGCACAGTTTGGTTGACTTAGGGATTCTAACAAGTCCTAAATAACTCATCTAAGCTTTCCCCAGTGACCAATTGAACTCCTAACCCCAATTCCCCATTTTTGCTACTCCACTTCCTTAAACACACTCAATAACAGCACCAACAACTCAAACCAGAATAGTTCAACAAGGTCACAGGTTATATTATCTCATACCACTATACAATTCACACCTTCACTCAATTACATACCCAAGCAAACTTCCAAACAACATTATACAACAATACAGTTCCACAACACATCAACCAATTAAATTAACTAGCTTCCCTTATCTCTAAACGAACCAGACAACTTCCACACCCTTTAGGAATTTGCTTACTCTTCCAAGAAATTCTAAGAACACCTATAGACCATCGATTTATGAAAGGAGATCAACCCTAGCACCAAAATTAAGTTAGAAAGAGGAATAGGATACTGTTAAACACATGCAAACAACAAAGCTTTCTTGCATGTACTAGAAATCCTAGAAATTCATGAGAATTTAAGGAACGACACTTACTCGCTCTAAACACGAA